CCCTGGGCAGTTTGGTTATTGAGAAGAAGTTGTTTAAAGTTTTTAACATATTTGACCCCTGTGACCTTGAAAATAGATGAAGGTCATTTATTTGAACAAACTTGGTAGCCCTTCATCCCAGTTTGCTTCTGGCCAAATATCATCACCCTAGGCCTTTCAGTTATTAAGAAGAAGTCGTTTAAAGTAAAATATTGACGCCGGACGGATGCCGGATGGACAGACGGACGCCGGACGCCGCACCACGGCATAAGCTCACTTGGCACTTCGTGCCAGGTGAGCTAAAAATGCCGGCTTCATTCAGCCTTGAGATCTAGAGTGTTGGAACATTGGTATAAGATTCCCATTATCTTTGTGGAGCTTCTTACTCCGATACAATTATTGCTTGTGGATCTGTCCAAACCAGTGTAATTGTGCTGGTATATGTGAAATAAAAATCTGTTGGAGAGACCTTTGGAAACTCGTTCACTGTTAATTCTTTTTTAAACAAAAACAGAAAAGTTTCATCTGAATTCATCTATGCATTGATGTCAACACATCTGTTGCAGTCTGCTGTCCATATCCTATGTGTTTGTACCATACCCTATGTGTTTGTACCATACCCTATGTATTTGCACACATACTATGTGTTTGTACCATACCCTATGTGTTTGTACCCTACCCTATGTGTTTGTACCATACTCTATGTGTTTGTACCATACCCTATGTATTTGTACCATACCCTATGCATTTGTACCATACCCTATGTATTTGTACCATACCCTATATGTTTGTACCATACCCTATGTGTTTGTACCATACCCTATGTGTTTGTAATGTACAGCATACGAGTAAATAACATCAATTTAAGGTGTCAATGCTAGGTACAGTAAACAAACACACTTCCATAAAAAAATTACTGCTGATAAACAAGTCGTATTAATGTCCCTTGGCTAGGAGTTGCCTCATAATTATCACATTTTGTAATTACATAATCAGTCAGCTATTGTAAGCGAAGTCCATTGTCGGGTCCCCTGGACGTTTGCTGTAAGCATCAGGCCCCCTATAAAGCAAACAAGTTTCACATAGACGACACAAAATGTATGCATTTGCAACAATTAATGCACAAGCCTTCTCATGCTCTTCTTTCATTTACTAACGGTTCAATTTAGATTGGCCTAGATAAGGTGTGTCGTCGACTCAGGCGCGACATCCACACCCACTGACAGTATTCCTATCTGCACTCACTGCATACTAGGCCCGGTGGGGAAATCAAAGGAGGCAGAAATAGCATGCAGGCTGGTTTTTCTCCCCACTTCAGCGTTCTGCCGAAAAGGTTCATGTTCTTTCAACTCACAGTAGATATACATGTATACAAGGTACGTGTAAAAAATAAATAATAATTATAATAATATACAACATTTATATAGCGCCCTATATAATTTGTAAAATTACTCTAAGGCGCTTTACAACATATGGATAATAGTAATGGTTATAATTGTGAAAACAAACAACAAAGGCTTGCAATCACTTTCATACATTTAACAAGCAATGTGCACATAATTGAACAAATAAAAGGGTGGTATTTACATGACGTCTTTGCAAAGATTCTAAAATGCAGACGTGAAGAGGTGAGTTTTTATGTCCCTCTTGAACTTGGCCAGGGTATTTGACTTCCTAATAGCAGATGGTAAGCTATTCCACAACGTAGCCGAAACCCTCCCAAAGCATCTGTTTCTGTAGGTCACAGTACGAGATTTTGGGACACACAACAAAGATTCTGACTCCGACCGCAGTGATCTTGACGGCTGATACAGGGTAACAAGCTCCTGTAGGTACTGAGGAGCTGTTCCATTCAGTGCCTTGTATGTGTATACCAGAATTTTGTACTGTGACCTGTATCGTACAGGTAACCAGTGCAACGAATAAAGCGCAGGTGTGATGTGCTCTCTCTTTCGAGTTCGAGTACGAGTACGAGTAACTAGCCGTGCTGCATCTAACAACTACAAAACATTATACTGCAAAGAATTGCATGTAACTAGCTTGACCTTGACCTTCACAGTGCTTTTAAATAAATGTCACCCTGATAAAATACTAGCTACTTCCTACCAGCTTCACTAGGGTGAATTTCTTTATACCCATTCGGAGGAGTGCCAGAATAAATAAGCCAGAGATCCAAGGGTTGACTCCTAATAGAAGTGCATTGAACAAAAAATGACCTCTGAAACATATATCTGACAACTGTCTACTGAAAATACTGCTGAATATGATCTTTTTGTACAATTATCAAAACGTAAACATGACCATGACAACGTCGTGCTGGGTATTATTGTACGATAGAAGTGTACACAAATATGAACCCCCTGCAGGTGATTTTTCTAAATTGTAAATAGTTTTGACTCATACAGGATAATGGGTTTCTATTGTAGTAAGCTAAAAAATTGGGTAAATGTATCTTAGAAAAGATCTCTCCTAAAAAGGTCACAGAATATTTTTTATCAAAATAAATCAAAATACCAACATAATCTGTTTCTCATTAAAGCTTGTTAGGTTCCTGTGATAGTGAGACTGTTTGGTTTGCCGGTGGCTATATATATATGTGGAATCTTAAATGACTATCATTGAACACCTTAGCACTTTGGTATACAATCATCTCCAACCTTATATTTTATTGATCGACCATAAGCTTTGCTTGGCATGCAATGTGTCTATGGAATCTCCAGGCAGAGCAGGCTTTGCTATTTGACAGAGCAACAGCAGCACTTTGCCATCCTACTTCAAATAGAGGTTGGGACGGTACAGCTCTGTCAAACACTACACAGAGAATCAATCTATAGGAATGACAACAAAGGGAATTGAAATCTAAGAGGTGCGTGTTATGTGTGTGTGTGAAAGTGTATTGTCAGCGTAATATCAGAGCATCTTCAGTAAACATTTTCAGTGTTAGTAAGAACATTTTCACAGAGGTTCATCAGTACAGTGTTTGCTGGAAATCAGTACATGGTCAGTGGAAAATCAGCAGTGTGTCAGTGGGTAATCAGTACACTGTACGTGGTAAAGCAGTACATTGTGTCAGTGGGAAATAAGTACATTGTAAGTGGTAAATCAGTATAGTGTCAGTTGTAAATCAGTACATTGTAAGTGGTAAATCAGTACAGTGTCAGTTGTAAATCAGCACATTGTAAGTGGTAAATCAGAATAGCGTCAGTTGTAAATCAGCACATTGTAAGTGGTAAATCAGAATAGCATCAGTTGTAAACCAGTACATTGTAAGTGGTAAATCAGTATAGTGTCAGCTGGAAATCAGTACATTGTAAGTGGTAAATCAGTATAGTGTCAGCTGGAAATCAGTACATTGTAAGTGGTAAATCAGTATAGTGTCAGTGGGTAGTCTGTACTTTGTAAGTGGTAAATCAGTATAGTGTCAGTTAAAGATCAGTACATTGTAAGTGGTAAATCAGTATAGTGTCAGCTGGAAATCAGTACATTGTAAGTGGTAAATCAGTATAGTGTCAGTGGGTAGTCTGTACTTTGTAAGTGGTAAATCAGTATAGTGTCAGTTGTAAATCAGTACATTATAAGTGGTAAATCAGTATAGTGTAAGTGGGTAGTCTGTACATTACCAGTAGGATATTGTCTGTAAGACACGAAATTACAGTACCGAAGATTACTTCTTTTTGTGAAAATTACTTTTTTGTAAGCTATGTTCGGGTCTTGCTATTACTAGAACAAGGTATCAATTTGAGATTCCACAAGGTTTATAGACACATCGAGGACTCACCACATCAAAGTGTCCATGTTGACAGGCAAGGTGAATCGGCGTCTCGCCTTCCTTAGCTAGCTCATTGGTTGGGGACTGCCATTGTAGCAACATGTGTACCGGCTCCGACTTGCCCTGCCAGGCGGCATAGTGAAGGGCCAGCATTCCTGAGGGTTGTAACAAGCATTGCATCAAAATCTTGAAATTACTTTCAGTGCATATTGACATATACATTTGACACTTCAGTTAAGTTATGTACTGATTATATACATTATGGAATTTGTAATTGATAATCGGAAGAGTCAATAAATCTGTTTTTTTTTTTTATAATCGATCACAAGCCCATCATTACAATTTCACACAAAAATCTTTCATGAAATACAAGTATCTTTAACATTTACAGAAAAAAACATCTATTTATAGAACCAGTGACCTTGACATTTGACATTTTGACCTACAGCATAAATACAGCTTATACATCAAGAATGTACTAATGTTTAATACTCTTGTTAGTGCATGCAATTTGGAAATCTATTGCTGGTGATTTTGACCTTTACTTTTGACCTAATGACATCAAATATCATCCCATACAAGTTAGTGACACAGGATATAGACTTAGTCTGAACTGTGAATCTACAGGATGTGTTTGATGTATGACCCATGTACATTGAAACTTAATTAATCAATGACTTCAACAGAAAAAGTCTGTGATTCTCGGGTATGTAACCTACTGGTTTTTCACCGACATGCTGCTGTCACTATCTAACCAAATGATCCCGCCTTCCTTGATGTCAGTAGTCAGTAGTAAGTCATGTTTCACTGGACATGGTACAAGTTGAAGGACAAGCATTTCTTTGAGGAGGATTCTGATGAAGGAATGCTGGGTATTGCACAGGTACATATCTATCATTAAGTCATTGTTCAGCAAATGTGGGTGTGTGAATAGCTGTCAATCACAGCTACGACCTCTACGACCCCTCCTCACAGCGACCTGTTTCGGACTGATGGACAGATAGGCTACGGGATTCTATCGAATGATTCACATACAGATAGACAATAATGGCTGACAAGGCCAGGGTACCAGTTCACAGCGGCTTTGTTTTCAGGGGTGAAGATGATAACATACAGGAAATGAGTTTTATTTGTCTCGGGTACAAAAAACATTGACAGAAACAAGATACCAAGAAAAAAAGCGTTGATATATTTTATTCAAAGAAATGAAGCAGCACTAGAATGATAGTTAGATAATAGTTCAGGATGTCAAATATAGATTATTGCCAAAATTTCTTTTTCAAACAAAAATCTATAAACGTATATTTCGGATACTTTCTTTAATTCGGAAAATTTGACATGAAGAAACTAAATTCAAGTTCTTCTAATTGATCTGTGGGTTTTACAAGAAATTGACAGAACATAGGAATGGAACAAAGGAGGTTACTCAAGGGTAAACCTTTATCAAGTTACGATGACAGGACCAGCTGTTGTTACCTTTGTTGTCTTGGATACTGACTGATGACCCATTCTCCAGCAGCAGCTGCATCATGTCCAGGTTTCCAACCAGAGCCGCTTGGTGCAGAGCGGACATGCTGAAAAACAAACCAACATTTCATTGTCATGTTTATGTTGTCTGTTATATCGGTATACCAATTTGGGGGTTGGATAGAACAATTATGGGTATCGGTCAATGCAATTTTGTAATCAGTCAAGCCATCCTCAGCATTAGTCATATGCATGTCATAAGGGGTAGGAGAGGAGTGAGAATGGGGGTTGGATGGGTTGGGGAAGGGATATTCAAGAAATAATGCAAACAGGTCTAGGCAATTATTGCAAGCCACTAGAGAAGATGGACAAGCCAATGTGTGGGTCAAACTGTCAGGCAATAAGGAGGGAAGGGGAGACAATCCATTCAGGGGACAGACAAACTAACAAGGAGGAAAGGAAAGACAGTAAGGGAGACAAATAAGTCCCAATAAGGAGGGAAGGGGAGACAATCCATTCAGGGTACAGACAAACTAACAACGAGGAAAGGAAAGACAATAAGGGAGACAAATAAGTCCCAATAAGGAGGAAAGGGGAGACAATCCATTCAGGGGACAGCCAAACTAACAAGGAGGAAAGGAAAGACAATAAGGAAGACAAATAAGTCCCAATAAGGAGGAAAGGGGAGACAATCTATTCAGGGGACAGCCAAACTAACAAGGAGGAAAGGAAAGATAATAAGGTAAACAAATAAGTCAATGGTGGGGACAGACAAGCCAATAAGGGGGAAGGGAGACGAGCCATTTTTAATCAATTTCAAGCAATTAGCCCACTAGAGGTGGGGTGGGCTGAGGGTCCAATCAACACAGAAGGGGGTAAATCATGCCAATAAGGAGAGGAAAGTCACTTTACCAAACAGATAAGCCAATGAGAGGGACAGGCATGCCTATTAGGGTCATTTTTGCAAGCAAGTCATTTAGGGAAGGGTTAGGTAAACAATTATATCAGGGGTTCATGTGAGATTAAGTATACAGTTTGATGTTGAGCAAAAATACTTTGGGAGTCAAATACTATTGGGAAACTAATGACTAATTTTATTTTGTATTAAAAGGTAAATGATAATTTTAATCAAACAACAAATAAAACATTCATAACAGGACTGAACGACGTAAAGTTGACCTATAAATGACAGTCTGCTTTAAATAAACATTGTTGAGTGTTCACCTTCTCATATTTGATGAAATTTGCTAATGATCAGACATCTGTTTGAGCGATTTCAATGGCCAGACAGTGCAGCTCAACAGTCAATGAAGAAAAGTACAGTAAAGCTTGGAGATCCATTGATTGTGTGCTTAATGAATGCACTGCAGACATTAGGACATATGGATGCCATCGTTCACAAGGTTACCATTGTAATCTTAAGTTAACCATCTTTTCCACTTCCTACAAGCTCTTTTTCATCTGCTCTTTATCCTGCCCGCTGGCCGATCCAACATTGTGTCAGTCTAAACAGCCATGATAGACTTATATCCAGATCAGTGACAAAACCGCGACATAAAAAATATCACGCTACTACTTCAAACAACTATCTCAGTCCTTGTCTGCTCGACAAGAAAGTTGTGAAGTTTGATAAAATGTCTGGCTATTTATGACACTTAACACTTAAATCCCCAGACAGAATATTCTACAGACATTTAAATCTGTATCCCCCAGTTGGTTGATTTGATAAGTATTGTGCATGTTTTGTTCACTAAGTTAAGCATACAAAACATATATACCTGCCCTGGTCAACCAAGTGGTCTAGACGGCTTAACCCTTTCACCACTGTAAACCTTAATGAACACATCCATATCAATGCATGGTAGAGTCTACTAAAGTTACATAGGGGTGAAAGAGTTAAATGACCAGGTTAGATCTCCTGTATCAGTCAGTACAGATTGGACCTCAGGATTTTACATTAAAATCTAAAATTGTTAAAACAAGATGAAAAGGAACGAATATCTTATAGACAGGAAAAATCTTTATTTTTTTCCAGAGGAAATTTGGGTTGTGTTCTCGGTTTCTTCAACACCTGAATTCAGATGTATTGCATTTCATTAGTCTGATCACACATTTAAGAATAAATATATACATTTATTAATTATTTTAATGAAAACTTATATATATACAATAGGATTTAAAATGATAATCATCAGAAATAAATGATGAAAATTTAAACCAAAAAGCAAGAAAATGAGTTGGTTTTGAAATGAGGCTGGTTGATGTCGGTTTTAATAACGATGTGTTTATATAAAAGAAGAACCTTTGAAGGAGTGAAAAGCCTATAGAGACACTAATTATAGGCTGCTTCAGGTGGGTCTTCATCCTCAAAAGCCTATAGAGACACTAATTATAGGCTGCTTCAGGTGGGTCTTCATCCTCAAAAGTCGCTGGTTTCTGTCCATTCTATAACGTTCTATAACGATGATGGGGATCAGAGGACTACCACATCAAGCTAGTAAACCTCACCACCCCATCTACCAACAGACAGTTGTGCTGTATGTAAAAACCCTACAATTCTACATGTCTAATCGCAAACAGATGTTTGCAAACAGACACAAATATTGAATCAGGATATTCCATTCGTGTCTAAACACTCCCAGGTGTAGACAGGAGGTGAGTGCTCAATGCTGGCGGAGCTTTATCAGGAAGCGGTGAAGATATAGCAGTATATTACAGGATACCAAATGGTTTGTTAGCCTGGTACAGGTTAGGTGCACTAAACCATGCATGAGGATTAACAGGAGGATAGCTCTTCTTTATCAACAAAACAGTATTTGAAGTTTCCTTTTGAACTACTCGGTAGCCTCCCTTGACTGTTGTTAGCCTTTCTTGAATAAATATTTTTTTGGCTACTTAACCATGAATCGACTCCAATGATGTTCTTAATTTGAATGATCAACAAGTAGTCTCCCTTGATTATCTTGATTATCTGAATCTATCTTTATCACAAGTAGTCTCCCTTGATTATCTTGATTATCTTGATTATCTGAATCTATCTTTATCACAAGTAGTCTCCCTTTAATTATCTGACCCTATCTTCATCACAAGTAGCCTCCCTTGAATATCAAACCCTATCTTCATCACAAGTTGCCTCCTTTGATTATCTGACCCTATCTTCATCACAAGTAGCCTCCTTTGATTATCTGACCCTATCTTCATCACAAGTAGCCACCCTTGATTATCTGAATATATCTTTATCACAAGTAGTCTCCCTTTAATTATCTGACCCTATCTTAATCACAAGTAGCCTCCCTTGAATATCAAACCCTATCTTCATCACAAGTAGCCTCCTTTGATTATCTGACCCTATCTTCATCACAAGTAGCCACCCTTAATTATCTGAATATATCTTTATCACAAGTAGTCTCCCTTGATTATCTTGATTATCTTGATTATCTGAATCTATCTTTATCACAAGTAGTCTTCCTTTAATTATCTGACCATATCTTAATCACAAGTAGCCTCCTTTGATTATCTGGCCCTATCTTCATCACAAGTAGCGACCCTTGATTATCTGAATATATCTTTATCACAAGTAGTCTCCCTTTAATTATCTGACCCTATCTTAATAACTAGTAGCCTCCCTTGATTATCTGACCCTATCTTCATCACAAGTAGCCTTCCTTGATTATCGAATGTATTTTCATCACAAGAAGTCTCCCTTGATAATCTAAACCTATCTTCATCACAAGGAGCCTAGCTAGCTTCCTATTTACAACTCGCATCACAGTATGCTCCCTTGATTATCTGACTCCATCTTCTTCACAAGTAGTCTCCCTTGATTATCGGAACCTACTTGCATCATAAACAGCTTCCAGTTGCTTATTTAACCTTCCTTGTACACCAGCAGCCTCCCTTAATTGTTTATATTAGTCTGAAAGGCGAATATAACCATTAACCATTGGAAGTTTTCCTGATTTAGCATGTGAATTATCTTTTTGCGTACATGGCTACCCTCCCTTCCAACTACATGTCAACTATTTACCACATCACATAAACTGTATAAAAACATATGAAAATTCAAGAACATGATCTACCATTAAATTACTGCACTTGCTTCCTCGTGATCTATAATCGGGTTAACTCTGACAATAGAGATAGCTCTGCAGCCATGATGTTGATAATAACAGCTATCGGCTTTTCAATCATGTCATAATATTTTCGTCAGCTACTACTGGATCGATCTAAAGTAACAATTAATTATGTATATAACCTGTAAAAACATTTTACCTGAGACTATATAAAGTTTATTAGTGTCAATCTTTCAATAAAGTGAACAAAATGGGAAGAATGGATTTTTTGTCTTGAAAATATTGATTCTGCTGCTGTTGTTAAAAGTCCCTATAGAAATCTTAAGATACATATCCGCCACCATACCCAACTCACCAAAACACTGGTTTTGTTACCTTTATATAGATTTAATGTTTCATAGCTATCCTTTTGTGGCCTTGGAAATATTGATTAGGTTATATAAATATTATGATTGAAGTGTGACACCATTACATGATCGTTCATAACCACCTGAAATCAAATTTATACAAAATGTTAAATATCTATTTTACATAAAGTATCCTGTACCAGTAAGTTATCTGAAACTATTTAACCATATAGTGGTATATATTTGATTGTTGAACACTAGTTTGATTCATTTTATAGAAGATTTCGGTTTGTCTGTGTTTCACGTCCTATTAACAGCTATGGTCATTTCAGGACGTGCCAGGATTTGGTGATGGAGGAAAGCCGGAGTTCCCACAGAAAAAACACTAACCTACGGCCAGTAACTGGCGACTGCCCCACATAGGTCTCGAACCCATGACCCAGTGGTGGAGGGCTAGTGGAAGCAGAATGTCAGACGCCTTAACCTCTTGGCCACCGCGGCCCCTTTATAGAAGATGCACTGACTAAAATTTATATAACATTACTTCTGAAGAAAATATATTCAAAATGAAAATTTAAATAGGAAATAATTAATCTTTAACATTACACAATCCTGGTCACTCCACTAATTTATAATAGGACGGGGAAAATGTAAAGGACAAGACACTGGGAATGTACGACTGTATGA